TACTACTACTACTACGACTACGACTACTACTACGACTTTGACTACGACTACGACTACGACTACTACTACTACGACTACGACTACGACTACTACTACGACTACTACTACTACTACTACTACACTACTACTACTACCTACTATTACTACTACTACTACTACTACTACTACTACTACTACTACTACTACTACTACTACTACTACTACTACTACTACTACTACTATTTGTATTATTATTGTATTAGGGTCCCATCAGGATTCCCTAGGGTCCCCAGGGCCCCTAAGGATTCACCAGGGTCCTCTAAGGATTTATTAGGGTTGCTTGAGGGATCCCTAGGGTCTTCGAAGGATTCACTGAGGTTCCCTGAGGATCCATCAGGCTTCCCTTAGGATCCATCAGGGTTCCTTCAGGATGCATTCGGGTTCTCTAAGGTGTCACTAGGGTTGCCTAAGGAATCCCAAGGGCCCCCTAAGGATTCACTAAGTTTCCCAAAGGAATCATCATGGTCCCTTCAGGATTCATTCGGGTTCCCGAAGGATTCCCTCGGATTCCCTCGGATTCCCCAAGGATTCCTTAGGATTGCCTAAGGATTCCCCAGGGTTCCCTAAGGATTCCCTAGGGTTCCCTACATATTCCCTAGGGTTGCCGAAGGACTCCTTAGGATTGCCTAAGGATTCCCTAGGGTTCCCTAAGGATCCCTTAGGGCTCCCTAAGGATTCGGTAGGGTTCCTTGAGGATTCCCTCGGGTTCTCTAAGGATTCGGTAGGGTGAGGATTGCAGGATTCCCAAGGGTTCCCTAAGGATCCCCGAGGGTTCCCTGAGGATTCGGTAGGGTTCCTTGAGGATTCCCTAGGGTTCCCTAAGGATTCGGTAGGGTTTCCTTGAGGATAGCAGGATTCCCAAGGGTTCCTGGAGGATTCCCTAGGGTTCCCTAAGGATGCGTTAGGGTTCCCTGAGGATGCGTTAGGGTTCCCTGAGAAGTCTCTAGGTTTCCGCATGGAGCCCGAAGGATCCCCAAGGGTTCTGTATGGATTCTGGAGCCTGGCTGGTGCTCCCTTGCGTTTGCGTGGTCGGGTCCAGTGGGGAGGTGCAAGGTCGTGCTGGATCCCATAATCCTAGTAATTTGAGGCCGGAGGGGTTTCGCGTTTCCCGTTTCCCGGCCCCCCCCATCCCCTTTGGGCCTCCAGCTAGGGTCGTACAAGAGGGTTGGACCTCCAAGGTAGAATGGGGCCTCCAGGTGGTGGTCGTACCTTGTTGTTGTTGTTGTTGTTGTCGTCGTCGTCGTCGTCGTCGTCGTCGTCGTCGTCGTCGTCGTCGTCGTGGTTGTTGTTGTTGTTGTTGTTGTTGTTGTTGTTGTTGTTGTTGTTGTTGTTGTTGTTGTTGTTGTTGAATATTATTACTTCTAAAGAATAATTATTGTTGGGCCCCCTGGTGCACGCCCCCCTCGCCGCGCCTAGGCCGCAGCCACATTTTCATCATTTTCGTGAGGAAGTCTCAGGCAAAACGGGGGAGTCCGGATCCGGTTGTTTTGTTGACGCCCGCTTTCCCTGTCAAAAAACAATATAAAATGACATGTCTTGTTCTAACATAACCAAACTTCAAGAATCCTTTGCAAAAAATGACACGAAGTGCACACTCGCGCGCGCAAGATGAAATCCTTCCAAAACCTTAGTTTTCGTAGCGATTTTAACATAAAAACATGAAAAACCCAATGGTTTTTCAAAAAAAAAAAGTTTCAAACATTCATCCCGCGCGCTCTTGCGGATTTCTTAGGAAACCCAATACTTTTTCAACATTTCTGTCAAACGGGCTCTTGCGAGCAACTTTTTCACGTGCTTCGAACTTCTGCAACAACGGTTGCGCGCATGCCAGGGCCATCATCCCTGTCAAATAATACCATATGGGACACATTCGTTTTTTCTTCGCGCGCGCACGCCGAAATCTTCAAACACCATTGGGTTTCTTAAGAATTTCAGCACCGCGTATCATAAAATCGCACGAATCGCACCGTAGGTCCTCGAAAAACACGTGCACGGAGCCCCTGATGTATTGCTGCCAGGAGCCCAGCTGGCAGCATTGCGCCCGATCCGTGCCATCAGAGACAGGCGTATGCCAGAAGATGATGAGCACAGGGACTCGTCTCTTTAGTATGTCTCCAGAGCACGTATGTGTCCAGAGCCGCGGCGGGGAAAAGACGGTGGGTGGGCGTGCAAGCGCCGTTCCCGCCCCTCCTTCCTTTCTCCCTTCTCTCCTTTCCTCCTTGTCCTGCTCCTCCTCCTCCTCCTCCTCCTCCGGCGGGGGGCGTGAGGATCCGGCATCGCTGACAACCATCGGGACAACCATCGGGACCACCATCGGAACAACCATCGGGACAACCATGGGGACAATCATCGGGACAACGATCGGGACAACCACAACCATCAGGACAACCATCGGGACAACCGTCGGGACAACCATCGGGACAACGATCGGGACAACCATCGGGACAACCATCGGGATAACCATCGGAACAACAATCGGGACAACCGTCGGGACAATCATCGCGAAAACCATCGGGACAACCACAACCAGCAGGACCTCCAACCAGAGAGAGCTACTCACGTGTATTTCGTAGACGAATGAGCCAGTATTGCACATTGAGGCCGGAACGACATCCACACAACAAGAATGAGCATGTATCGTCTCGCAACAACGGAAACAAGTCCTGTGGTATGCTGGCGCCACCCACGTGGTACCACTCAAAATAAGTGTCTTCGCTTGTGTGGTACAGAAACGGAAAAACGTCGTATCAGACGCTAGCGCCTCACTATCATTGTAGGACCTACAGACAGTACCGGCGTCGTACTGGTTTACCGTGGTTTCCTATTCTAGCGTCAGGAACATGTTACCACGAAAAACCAGTACAGGTGTCCAGTGTTGGAACAGGGGGAAAAGTCGTATACGAAGCTAGCTTACAGAAAATGTTACCACAACAAGTCACTGTACCCATGCGCCAGTGTAGTAGCCAAGGTCGTCCGCAGGCCACGAAGTGAAGTGTCCGAACGTCATAGGGCGGGAAGCTGGGTGTGGGTGGTGGCGAAGAGTCGTTTGGAAATTTGGTAGAGCTTGAACCGGCCCCCCCACAAAGTGGGGGTATTGCCCGCCTCCTATGAAAACCCTGGCACTGGTGAGAACGGAGTGTCCCCACGTGCTAGTAATTGTTGTTGTTGTTGTTGTTGTTGTTGTTGTTGTTGTTGTTGTTATAATGGTGATTTATCTTCCTCTTCCTCTTATTCGTAGTATTAGTCTTCTTCTTCGTCTGAGTATTATTCTTCTCCGTCTTTTCATTACTACAATTTTTGTTTTTTTGCCTCCGTCTTCTGTTTCGCATTATTTTCATTATTCGGTTGTTTCTTCTTATTTTTCGCATGTTTCTTTCTCTTTTGGTGCGCTCCCTGGCCGTGCCTCTGGCCATGAAGCTCGAACCCTCTCCTGACCCCTATTCTCTCTGGCGCACCCGATGTTTCCGTCTTTCTCTTTTTCTTTATTTAATCGCTTCGCTCATTCCGCTGGGCCATATTGTCTCGCCGCGCCGCTTGGGGGCCGTGTTGGGACCTTTTGGGGGCTTTTGGGAGGCAGTTTTGAAGCTTTGGGGGCTGTGTTGGGGCGTCTTGGGGGCCTTTAGGGTTTCTTATGCCTCTTAGGGGCCTTTTGGAAGCCTCTTGGGGCCTCCTGGGGGCCTTTTGGGGGTGCAGTATCCTGGTCCCCGTCTTGGGCCCCTCTTGGGGCCGTTTTGGGGCGCCCTTGGGCCATTTTGAATGCCTCCTGGGCTTTCTTGGGGCCACTTGGGCCGTCTTGGGGCCCTCTTCGAGGCTTGTTGGGCTGTCTTGGGGCGGTCTTGGGGGCCTCTTTGCCCGTCTTGTGGCGCTGGAAAGCCGAAAAGGCGAGAAACGTCGCATATGCGCATTTTTTCTTTTCCCAGAAAATGGAATTAGACGATCTTTGCTTTTTGGGGCTCTCTAGGAGAGCCTCTTGAGGCTCTGTTGGGGCTTCTTCGCGAACTCTGGGGCCAGCTGGAGACCATCTTGAGCGTCTTGGAGCGATCTTTCGGTCACTCGGGGCCTCTTGGGCCGTGTGCGGGGCGTCCCGGCGCCCTCTTGGCGCGCTCCTGGAGCGGTAGAGTCGGCCGGGCATCGCCCAGGGGCCGCCACGCGCGCGCGAATCAGACATATCATTAACCTGTTACTGGAGATCTTAGCACGCCTCTGGGTCGTTTGGCCAACGAGTTTCTTTATTTCGTTCTTTCTTTCTTTTTTTCTGTGTTCTTCTCGGCGCAGCGTAGAGCCCACACAGGGCTCAGCGCTGGCAGACTACCATCATTTCGACTTGGAGGGAGAGCGTGGATGGAATATACACCAC